AGGAAAAATTCCACAACTAAAGGTAGAGAAGAGGCCAGGGCACCTGAGTGGCTCAGTGGTTGAGCATCTGCCTTTGGCTCAGGTCATGATCCCAGGGTCCTGGGATCAAGTCAGACATCAGGCTCCCCATACAAATCCAGTCTCTCCCTTGCCTATGTTTCTGCCTCTCTCTGCGTGTCGCTCATGAATAAATAAATAAAATCTTAAAAAAAAATAAAGGTAGAGAAGAGGCCACATCAAAGATAAGAAGTATGGAGACATGGTCTAGAGGAGAAACAGAACCTGGCTGCTGCAGAGAAGAGGGAGATGCAGTCATGGAGAAGGGCTAGAGAGAGGGAGATCATAGGGGAATGCACAAGGAGAATGTTTCCCCATAGCCATTAAGTTGGAAAGTGAGAAGAGCTCAATTTTGTGACTTCTTGCAAGCAGAGGGACATAAAGCCTGAAGTTTTAAATCTCAGCAGTCTGGGCTCTAGGAGAGTTCAGAAACACTGGGATTTCTCTTGGAGATAAAGCAAGCAAACAACCTGGGGATATAGAGCATGGAAACAGCAATCTGAAGAGTGCCTGGGGGCACATAATGGAGATATTATTTGTTCTTCTTGGAGTATGTCTCTAAAGGAGAGTGTTAATGGACAAACTTCTCCAGGGGCAAAGGAGCTAGCTGGTACCATTTCCCTCCCATACCCCTCAGCATAAGTACAAGGCCACTTGTGGGAACCAGCACAGTGTGGACATTGACTGCCAAACTTGTTTACACTAACTTCCAGGAGAACTACCTTTCTCAGTCACACTTCAGTCCCAGTATGGTGGGCCCTTCCTCCAGAAGGCCAGCACAAACCCCTGCCTCCACATGTCTCCCAACCAGATAGTTTTGCAGGGCCTCAGTTCCAGTGGAGGTGGTGATGGCTCTCATTTCACAAGCAGACCAGAGCACATCTAGTTAAAATCTGCCACATTTAGGCCAGGGACCAACCAAACACTGCCCACAGCAGGCAAGCAGAGCCCCTGCAGATGACTTAGCCTGAGGGAGAGAGCAGCTAGAACAGAACAGTAGAGTGTATGATAGCACATACCAGAGACATTCCCTGAAGTACCAGATTCCAGGCACTACATGACCTCTTCTTCATAAAGCCATTACTTGCAGGAGCAGGAGGGGTTTAACTTGCATTTCTAACACAGAGAGCAGGCAGAGACTTAGATAAAATGAGAAGACAGAGGAAATTATCCCAAATGAAAAAGCAAGAAAAGGCTATGGCCAGAGATTAAGCAAAAGAGATATAAGTAATATGCCTGATGGAGAATTTAAAGCAATGATCATAAAGATACTCATTAGACTTGAGGAAAGAATGGAAGAAATCAGTGAGATCCTCTACTACAGAGATAAAAGCAAGAAAAATCTCAAATAAACAACCTAACCTCACATCTAAAAGAGCTAGGGGGAAAAAATTAAAAAGAGCAAAGGAAATAATAACTAGAACAAAAATAAATGACATAGAAACAAAAACAAAAAATAGATTAAATCAATGAAACTAGGAGTTGGTTCTTTGAAAAAATTAGTAAAATTGATAAACCTCCAGTCAGACGTACCAAAAAGAAGAAAGGACTCAAATAAATAAAATCACAAACAAGAGAGAAGAAATAACAACAAAAGCAGGAAAAAATATCCAATGGGAAAAAAACTGTCTCTTCAACAAATGATGTCAAGAAAACTGGACATCAACATACAAAAGAATGAAACTGGGCCACTTTCTTTCATCATACACAAAAATAAATGCAAAATGGATTAAAGATGTAAATATGAGACAGAAAACCATAAAAGTCCTTGAAGAAAGCACAGGCAGTAATTTTTCTGACATCAGCCATAGCACCATTTTTCTAGAAAGGTGTTCCATGGCAAGGAAGCAAAAGCAAACATAAACTATTGAAACAACATCAAAATAAATAGCTTCTGCACAGCAAAGGAAACAAGCAACAAAACTAAAAGGCAACCTACAGAATGGGAGAAGATATTTGCAAATGACATTTTTAATAAAGAGTTAGCATTCAAAAATATATTAAAAACTTTTAAAACTCAATAGCCAAATCAAAACTACAAATATTACTTCACACCTGTCAGAATGGCTAAAATCAAGAAACAACAGGTGTTGGTGAAGGTGTAATGAAAAGGGAACTCTCGTGCACTGTTCAATGCAAATTGGTGCAGCCACTCTGGAAAACAGTATGGAGGTTGCTCAAAAAGTTAAAAATAGAACTATCTTTTGATCCGGCAATCACACTACTAGGTATTTACCCAAAGAATATAAAATACTATTTTAAAAGGATATATGCACCTCAATTGTTATAGCAGCCTTATTTACAATAGCCAAATTGTGGAAACAGCCCACGAGTCCACCAACTGATAAATAGATATGGAAGCTGTTGCATATATATATATATGCATAATATATATATATAATATATATTACCCAAAGAAGGAATGAAGTCTTGCTGTTTGTAATGACATAGATGGAGCTAGAGTATTATACTAAGTGAAATAAGTCAGTCAGAAAAAGACATATACCATATGATCTCATTCATATGCACAATTTAAGAAACAAAACAATCAAACAAAGGGGGAGAAAAGAGACACAAATCAAGAAACAGACTCTTAACTATAGAGAACAAACTTATAGTTACTAGAAGGATAGGGTGAGGGGATGGGTGAACTAGGTGATGGGGATTAAGGAGTACACATGTCATGATGAGCACCAGTTGTTGTACGGAAATGTTGAAACATTATATTGTACACCTGAAACTAATATTACACTATTAACTAACTCAAATTTAAACAAAAACCTTTAAAAAATCTAAAACAGAAAAAGCTTCAAATTTAGAAAAAGGAGTTTAACTGGATTTTAAGTATCTTAGAAAACAAAATCATTTTAAGGACTTGGAAATACCAAAAAAGCAACTCTCATTCAAGAAGTCTAGAATAGGGATCCCTGGGTGGCGCAGCGGTTTGGCGCCTGCCTTTGGCCCGGGGCGCGATCCTAGAGACCCAGGATCAAATCCCACATCGGGCTCCCGGTGCATGGAGCCTGCTTTTCCCTCTGCCTATGTCTCTGCCTCTCTCTCTCTCTCTCTCTCTCTCTCTCTCTGACTATCATAAATAAATAAAAATTTTAAAAAAAGAAGTCTAGAATAATGTTTGTCAACCTCAAATCTGGCACATATTTTTAAAATATTGTACTTAACAAAAATCACTTCAAAATGTCACATGTTCTAGGGCCCCTGGGTGGCTCAGTTAAGCATCTGCCTTTGGCTCAGGTCATAATCCCAGGTTCTGGGATGGAGTCCCATGTGGCAATCTCTGTTTAGTGGGGAGCCTGCTTCTCTCTCTCCCACTCCCTGCCTCCGCTTGTGCTCTCTCAATAAATAAACAAAATCTTTTTTAAAATGCCACATGCTCTTATCATACACTAAACATAGGTAACAATGAATGTGAGAAAAATCTAACAATTATAGAGCATCAAAGTTTAATAAAGTCTGGAATCATCAATCTAGAGTTTTTACTAAACAGAAAAATACACTAACCAAATTAAATTTTTTAAGAGAATCACCTCATTTCAGCATATAGCAACTAAATTGTAGCTAAAGAAAATATTTTCCCAAAAGTCACCATAACCATAGAAACCAAGATGTCATTTATTAACATATAGCTTATATTAATTCATAATTACTCTTTAGAAATGTCAATAGCTTATCCAATAGTTCCCTCTTATCCACAGAGAGTATTGTCAAAGACCCCCAGGGAATGTCTGAAATCCTGTATAGTATTAGCCCTACGTATACTGTTTTTTCCTATTTCATACGTATCTACAATAAAGCTTAATTTATAAATTAGGCACAATAAGAGATTAACAACAATAACTGATAATACATTAGAACAATTAGAACAATATCCTGTAATAAAAGTTATGTGAATGTAATGTCTTTCTCTTTCAAATCTTTTCTTGTACTGTACTCACCCTTCTCCTTGTGATGATGATGTAAGATGATAAAATGCCTACATGATGAGATGAAGTGTGGTGAACGGTAGAGGCATTGTGATGTAGCAGTATGCTACTATTGACCTTCAAGGGAAAGTACATCAGAAGGAAAATATGCTTCCGGACCACAGTTGATCTTGGGTAAGTGAAACTATGGAAAGCAAAACTGCAGATAAGGGGAGACTACTATATAACAACTAATCATTTGACTTTATTCAAGTTTCTCTTCATACAAATTCAGGATACAAAAATTGAGCCAAGCTTCCAAAGGACTCATTACATTCTAAGTTGAGATGAAATTAAAAGTAGAAATATGCCCTCATGGCCATCGAAGCATATTTTTCTTTATGTTTACACACCTTTTAAAATACTTTATCCAGGCTATCTTCATTAAAATAAAGACTTACAAAGGAATTAAATTTCCCTATCCAGGTATGGAAATGTAAAATATGAAAGAAGATAGGGATGAAAACGAAAGGAATACTGGTCTCAGAAGGAATCAAATAGAAAAAGAATTAGAAATGTGATGTATTTTAATAAGGAGGGAAAAAACACAAACCTTTAGCCATGTGACTAAAACTCAAGGAATTTAAAGGAGAGGAGAGAACTGTAGCAAAGAAACTGCCTTTTCTACTACAAACTACATGTACTGAGAAGAATATACAGCTATAGAGCTTACTTTACCCTTTTCAACAGGGTTTATTATAGAAAGGATAGTTTAAGTAATTATTTCAATCATCAACTTACTTCATTTCCAAATGGGTATTTTATATATGCTAGATTTGAATTAAGATAACACAGTAACTTTAAACCTGTAGTTTTTATTGTTCATTTTCTGACCAGTGGTCCATGTCTTGGGGTTTCCTTTTATTTCCTTGTTCACAGAGTGACTTCCAAATGCTACACTTTTCTAAAGTGTGTACATCCATAAGTCCCTAGCTTCTGATTGCTGGCTTGGTTAAGACCTGATTACAGCTGAGAAAGAGGCCTCTATTTTATTTCTATATGAAAGACACCCTCTATTTCAAAGGCAGGAGCCTGTTCTTTCTTGATATTAGACAAATCTTCAGGGACAGGATCTAGTTCCAAAGGCTCTTCAGGTTTTTGCTGATCTTCCAAAACCAGTGATTCTAATTTTACCACTGGGACATCTGCTGTCTGGAGATGTTGATATTCAGTAGACATATGGTCTACCAAAGGCTCATCTGCAGCAGTGTGTTCAGATGGTGGAGGCTGAACTTCAGCAAGGACATCTTCTACAGAAATTTGTGTAAAAAAGTCCTCTTCAGCTGCTGGAAACTGTTTGTCAACAGGGACCATTTCTAAAGTCGTTTCTTCAGCTGATGGATGCTGAGGTTCAACAAGAGCTACCCCGGCTGGTTCAGACCAAACTCTAGCTGAGGTATCTTCTTTAGGAGCCTCCTCAGGTGGTGTAGAACAAATTTCAACTGCGGCCTCTTCTACAGGGGCCTCCTCAAGTAATGGAGCATGAACTTCAGGAGAGGTCTCAGCTGGTGGAGACTGAACATCAATTGGGGCCTCTTCTGCAGGGACCTCCTCAGCTGATGGAGACTGAACTTCATCTGGGGCCTCTTCTGTAGGGACCTCCTCAACTGAAGGAGGCTCAGCTTCAGGAGAGGTCTCAGCTGGTGCATGCTGAATTTCATCAGAGGGCTCATCTGCAGGGGCCTTCTCAGATGGTGGAGGCTGAATTTCAGGGGAGGTCTCATCTGGTGCATGCTGAACTTCATCAGAGGTCTCATCTGCAGGGGCCTTTGCAGATGGTGGAGGCTGAACTTCATCTGGGGCCTCATCTGCAGGGGCCTTCTCAGCTGGTGGAGGCTGAACTTCATCTGGGGCCTCTTCTGCAGGGGCTTTCTCAGCTGGTGGAGGCTGAATTTCAGGAGAGGTCTCAGCTGGTGGAGACTGAACTTCATCAGAGGTCTCATCTGCAAGGGCCTTCTCAGCTGGTGGAGGCTGAACTTCATCTGTGGCCTCTTCAGCAGGGGCCTTTTCAGCTGGTGGAGGCTGAACTTCATCTGGGGCCTCTTCTGCAGGGGCTTTCTCAGCTGGTGGAGGCTGAACTTCATCTGGGGCCTCTTCTGCAGGGGCTTTCTCAGCTGGTGGAGGCTGAACTTCATCTGGGGCCTCTTCTGCAGGGGCTTTCTCAGCTGGTGGAGGCTGAACTTCAGAAGAGGTCTCACCTGGTGGGGGCTGAACTTCATCAGAGGTCTCATCTGCAGGGGTCTTTTCAGCTGGTGGATGCTGAACTTCATCTGGGGCCTCTTCTGCAGGGGCTTTCTCAGCTGGTGGAGGCTGAACTTCAGGAGCGGTCTCAGCTGGTGGAGACTGAACTTCATCAGAGGTCTCATCTGCAGGGGTCTTTTCAGCTGGTGGAGGCTGAACTTCATCTGGGGCCTCTTCTGCAGGGGCTTCCTCAGCTGGTGGAGGCTGAACTTCATCTGGGGCCTGTTCTGCAGGGGCTTTCTCAGCTGGTGGAGGCTGAACTTCAGGAGCGGTCTCAGCTGGTGGAGACTGAACTTCATCAGAGGTCTCATCTGCAGGGGCCTTCTCAGCTGGTGGAGGCTGAACTTCATCTGAGGCCTCTTCTGCAGGGGCTTTCTCAGCTGGTGGAGGCTGAACTTCAGAAGAGGTCTCACCTGGTGGGGGCTGAACTTCATCAGAGGTCTCATCTGCAGGGGCCTTCTCAGATGGTGGAGGCTGAAACTCAGGGGAGGTCTCAGCCAGTGGAGGCTGAACTTCATCTGAGGCCTCTTCTGCAGGGGCCTTCTCAGCTGGTGGAGGCTGAACTTCAGGGGAGGTCTCAGCCAGTAGAGGCTGAAATTCTTCAGTCTCTCGTATAGGAGGCTCTTTAGCTGTTGTAAGCTGAACTTCAGGATAAACCTCTTCTGAGAAAGCCTCTTTAGCAGGGATAGACTCTACTTTAGCAGGGGCCTCTTCTGCAGAAATCTCTTCAGCTGGGAAAATCTGTACTTCAACAGGAGCTTCTTCAACTTTTGGAGACTGAACTTCAACAGGAGGCCCTTCTGAAAGAGCCTCTTCACTTAGGGTGGGCTCTATTGTAGCAAGGCCCTCTTCTATAGGAGCCTCTTCAATTGGTGGAGGCTGAGGTTCAGTAGGGAAGTTTTCAGCAATAGTCTCATCTGGCAGAGATTGGACTTCAGCAAAGATCTCTTCTGCTGTGGGAGACTGTACATCACCTAGAACATATTGCTCATTTTCTGAAAGTTCCAAAGAACCTTTTTTGCTTTGTTGACTAAATAGAAATTTGCTAATACTTATCCGCCTAATTTCTTCATCTCTACTTGTTGAGGGTAGCAATTCAGGATATTCACTAATGAAAAGCTTCCCTGAGGATTCACTTTTTTGCACAACTTCATTTGACTTTGAGAAAGAGCTATCTGGTTGGCCAATAACTACTATTTCTGTTTCACTAAAGTAGGTCTGCTGTTCCTTGTCCACTTTTTCTTTTTGAGGAATGTTCATCACTGACCAGTCTCCAGTACAACTGGTCTGCTGAGATCTGTCTATTTTTAGTTGAATTGAATGTCTGCTTGGTGGAATTTCTACTTCCTGAACAGTCTCTGGAAATTCAGGGACTGCTTCTCCAACAGCAGCTGGTTTTTCTTCAGGTACCACTGTTTCACCGACTGATCTGATTTCTTCTTTTTTCTCTTCTACAATAACCTCTGTTTGCAGAGATTTATCAGTCATATCCTGTACATGCTTTCTCTTTGTCCAAGTTTGCTGAAGTTGAGAAGATACTCTGAGAGACTCATAATTGACTTTGCTTCCAGGAATATTACCAATACTAACGGTAGATTTAGGACCATATGATTGTGATATAGGCAGGTGTTTCTTTTTCTCTGTTACTTCAGTCTGCTGGGATTTGTCTACCATTGATTGGCTGAGTCGTCTTCTCTTTCGAATTTCTTGCCTCCCTGCTGAGATGGGCTGATCAGTTTCATCACTCTCTTCCATTTCTAAAACTGGTGAATTTCAAAGGTATTAGTCTTCAAGTAATTAATCATCAAGAACCACAAATGTACCAGATAGGTAAGCCTTTGCCTTTCTTCATTAAGTGTTGTATATTAAGCTACTTTAGAAAAAAAGTAATTCATAACTTACTGCATTCTGTACTACACTCTTGTTGGATCCCACCTTACTCAGTAAGCATCTTTCCTGTTTAGTCTCTCATATGACTAATCTCACTTCTAGAAGTTTCCCTTAAAGGTCTATGACATCACAGTCAGTTCTCCCTACAAGGTTCCATTGGTGGCATTCCAAGCACTTTTTAACATGGTATAAATACTTTTGTAGAGAATGACTACAAGACAGAGAGCTACTGTTTGAAACACCAAGTTCAAAAAAGCATTTATCTATTGGAGGAATGTCAAGTAAACTCTAGTAACGCTGCTTCCTAATAGCGAAAGTGATGCTTTTGAACTTTCAATTCTGCTCTTTTCATCCTGCTATCAAAGACAGTTATACTGCAGAACTCAGAATGCTGCAGCCTATTTTCAATTGTTGAAGAAAACAACTGAGACATGTATGTGGCAATGTTCTATCAAAATGTATACTTACATGATTTAGAAGAAAGTGAATATTGCTTGAACAATGTGAGTTCTGAGGTCCATTCCATGTAAACTCCTTTCCTATGTCCTTAGCACTCAGTAACTACAAGAGCCTATCTATCTATATCTATATATCTATAGATAGCATATTCGCATTGTCAAACAACTTGAGATATTTTTATTTTCAACTATTTCAGAAAACAGTTCCACCCAAAGTTTGCCAAATAAAAAAAAGTTATGTCTAAAGATATGTCAAGTGAAATAAAATGTTTTCTTAAATATATAAGCTACTGAATAATCAAGTAGAAATAAATTCTCTAATGAAGATAAAAACTGCAAATTGAAGCCTTGAAATTGAGGAAACTGAATTAAGCAAATTGTAAATGGTATAATATATTAGGAATGTAAATAAAACTTTACCTTACACATCACAAAAATTTTACTAGCAAGATGAAAGTTTATCAAAAGATGTACAAAAAAAAACATAACTTTGGTCTACAGAAAGTTAAAAGGAAAAATACAGACTTCAAAAATGTAGTCACAGAGACAAATATATCTAAACAATCATAATTTGATTAACCTAGAAATATTTTTAAATTTCTTTATGCCCCTAGGAAATATGAAAATGTCATTGAATAATTACCCTTGTTTGACATGCATTAGCCATAATTGTAGTTAGGTCATCTTAGCCAAATAAATTAACACTTTTAACATTCTTTGACCTAGCCCCTAAAACCACCTCAGTCTCTTGGCAGGAATCAGTGAATATTTGTTCAGTGTAATTGGACAAATGTGTTAGAAACCATGTTGCTTGTCCTACATCTCAACTTGCTCTGCTTTAATTTTTGTCTATTCTGCTCCACTATGTTCTATCTTTATAAGAATTAATAGAGTGACGTATAACAATAATCATTTTACAAAAGAATGGACATAATTTTTAATCAGACCTGTTGTACTTTGAAAATTAGGTTTTTATCAACCTCTTTGTGGTCTGGTGTTATCAAATACATCTGTCACACATTGCATGTGTCTTTTGTAATCAAGTTTCTGAGATTTTAGAGATTTTATAGAGTATCTTCAAAGTCCATCTGTGGTTGATTTATTTTTTATTTTTTATTTTTTTATTTTTATTTTTTTGGGGGGTTGATTTATAACAAGAAATAAATGTCAAAACCAATATTGCATTAGTTGCATTATGCAATTGCATGTACTAGATTAACTTTGCTGCCTCCACTTAAATAAGGTTTTACCAAATCTTCCATAGACATAAATTGAATTTTCAATATCAGTTGAATTTTCAGTTTCTAATTATTTGATATTTATTTTCCCCTCCAATAAATAACAAGACTTTGATCAATCTTAGTTACACCAACCTATTATACTAAACTGCCTTTGTCACTAGCTTATTTATAGAAGCAACATAACATGCCTAAATAATCAATTAAAAATTTACTTGAAATTCCAAATGGAATTACAAGGGATTTCAGGGAGCAATTTCTCATATTTCTTAAATTCACAGCAATTCCTCATATTTCTTAAATTCTCATATTTCTCAAATTTCTTAAAATGCTCCTTTTTCCCTGCTGATCTATCTCACGAACTAATCATTATTCAACCTATCTTGACACTTTAGGGTTTGGTGTTTTACCCTTTGTTAGAAATTTCACATGATTCAGTTTTTTCCCAATTACTTGGTTTACATCCGTTATGGATTGAATTGTGTATCCCAAAAAGATATATTGGGCACTGTGAATGTGACCTTATTTGGAAAAAGGATCTTTGCAAATTTAATCAGGTCAAGTTGTCCTTATAAAAAGAGGGGGAAAAGACACAGAATGAAGATGTCCATGTGAAGATGGAGGCAGAGATTTGTGTTATGTTGCCATAAAGCAAGGAATACCTAGGGCTACCAGAAGCTAAAAGAAACAGTGAATTCTCTCCCACAGTCTTCTGAGGGACCATGGCTCTGCCAATTATTTAGGACTCTGACTCTCTAGAACTGTGAGAAAATAAAGTTCTGTTGTTTTATCCCAGTGTGTTGTACTTTCTTATAGCAGTTCTGGGAAACTAATATGATATTCTTTCAGAACCCCATACTTCTGACTTCTACTTGGAATGCTGTACTTCCAATTCTTTCTCAATCTCTAGAGCTAGTTTCTTTATTTCTAATTCAGGTCTGGCATTTGGTTTCACACAATATTTGACTCATTTCCATATTCATAAAACCAGAGGGATTTGCTAAAAAGCTTCTACCTGATGATTTGCATTTAATGTTACCAAAAACAAATGTGCTAAGTAGCACTTAGTTTCATTTTTTTATTATAATAACTTTGAAAGCTATTATTTAGAGGTGGCAGAGATGTTTCAAATCAACATACACCAAATATGTAAACTGTGACCTATATTGCTTTGTTCTGAGTAGATTAAAAAAGGTGAAGTCTGAAAAATGCCCACTGGATATAATAACTATAAGACTATTGGTAATTTTAGTAAGAGCAATTTCAGTAGAAAGGTGGAGATAGATGCCACAAAATTCTAAAATCCCTGTAAATTAAAAATAAAATTAAAGTGCAATAAAAATGTAGGAAAAATAAGTACAAAATATCACATAGACAAAGAGCTATATTTAATATCTAAAAGATTTTAGAAATCAATTTAAAACTAACAATAGAAAAATTAACAAAGGACATGAATAGAAAATTTATAGGAGAAAAATAGGTGACCAATAAATAGATAAAAGAGATCAAGTTCACTTCTAAAATAAAAATTAAAATACCAATGTAACATTTGCAAAGCTTATTTTAAAGTTAATATGCCCCAAAAGTGAGAATATTATTAAGTGGATAGTTTATACATTACTGGCAGAAGTTTAAATTGATACAAACTTTATTCTAGATAATTTGAAAGTAAATACCAAATGTTTCTAAAATGTGCATACCATTTGCCAACAAGTCTATTTCCAATTCTATTTAATTTTTGGAAGTAATTATTACCTCAAAAAAATACTGAGCATTTATATATTCAAGGGAGAGTTGCCAGGTTGGGGAAACAAGAGCACAAAAAACACATTTTGCTGTCCTTATGAATCTCACTGTATACTGGGAGAAATTGAATAAACAAATATAAAAATTGTGGAAAATATTATTCAGTAGTGAAGAGAAAATATATATTACCTACAGTAATAGGACTAAAGGGGTTTATAGGATAGAGTAATTGATAAAGTATCCAAGGGAGTAACAATAGGAAGAAAATTTTAGGAACTGTAAGAAAAAAATTCTGGAAAGAGGCAAGAGGAAAGACTAGGTGAGCTAAGGAAATCATCGATTAGAATGTGCTGGAAGAAGTAGATAGGGGAATGATGATGCATCAACGTGCAAATTCTAAGTATGTTATTTTGGATATAGAAACTGTAAATATTTGTGCACCAACACAATAAAAGTAGGGGACTCACCACTTTCATTAATGAATAGATAACCCAGATAGAAAATGAATAAGGAAACTTGGTCTTGAACTTCACTTTAGACCAGATAGACCTCACAGATACATATAGAACATCCTTTCCAACAGCAAGTAAATAAACATCTTCTCTAGCCCAGACAAAACATCATCCAGGATATATCATATGTTACCTGACAAAACATGTTTTTAAAACATTAAAGAAAATTTAAATCATATCAAGCATCTTTGCTAATCACAATGGTATGAAATTAGAAATCAATTACAAGAAGACAACAGGTAAATTCACAAATACATGGATGTTAAACAACATACTGCTGAATAACCTATGGGTCAAAGAAGAAATCAAAAGAAAAATAAAAAATATCGTGAAATAAATGAAATAGAAACAATTTAACAAAACTAATAGGATGAAGTAAATGTAGTTCAAAAAGGGAAGTTTATTGTAATAAATGCCTACATTTTAAGAAAAGGAAGATCTCAAATAGATAACTTTATGCCTTAAGGAACTAAAAAAAAAAAAGAACAAACTAAATCTAGGGGTAGAAGAAGAAAGGGAATAGCAAAGATTAAAGCAGAAAGAAATGAAATAAAGACCAGAAAGACAATAGAAAATATTAATAAAATGGAGATAATTTTTTTCAAAAGATAACATTGACAAATCTGTAACTAGACTAAGAAAAAAAGCAAAGAACAAAAATAGAAATAAAAGAAGAGGCATTACAACTGATATGTAGAAATACTACGGATCATAAGACTACTAAACAATTATGTATTAATGGATTGGAAAAGTTAGAAGAAATTAGTACATTCCTAGAAAATTAGAACCCAACAAGACTGAATCATGAAGAAATAGAAAATGTGAACAGACCAAAAGCAAATAAGGAGATTAAATCAGTAATCAAAAACTGCCAACACAGGATACAAAATCAATGCCCAGAAATCAGTGGCATTTCTAT